CACACACACGTACATTTTCCTATTATCTACATATTTTTGCACATAGGAGCAGTCACCAGAGAGAGGGAGATTCATCTTATTATCCGAGAATAAGCCACCCAAAAGTGCTCAATTAATCTGTAGTGACGTGACGTCACTACTATGTCGGGTCTGTATACACATGACGTCACTGCCATGTTGGGTCTGCATGCGTGACGTCACTGCTTGTTCGTTATGGAAGCTGTCGGGTGCCACGGGGGTTGTGTCAGGCCATGACACTCCGAGTGACCCCGGCTGGACACGTGACCGGATCCAAGAGGGGGCCGGGGGCCCTGAGGGACCCTGGGGGTCACGTGGTCAGGGAGTGGAGCCTTCTCGAGGGTTCTAGAAGGGGGGCGTGGTCATACTCTTAGGGTTTTTTTCTCGGTAAAGTCACGTAGGTAAAAAATAATAATAAAATAAAAATAAATGAAAATAACTAAATTAAATCACGACGACGTTTCGGAGGCAACACAAGTCTCCGTCTTCAGGTGGGACCGTTACAGCCAAATTTACTGTATCAAGTGAAGAGAAATCCAAGAGACAAGATCTTATATACTGGTTCAGGGGAGGGGGGAGGAGCTTATCTAGATGTAGCAGTCAGGGACTGGGAGAGGGGGCGGGGCTAGAAGGGAAAGTGGGCGGGGCTAGAAGGGGAAGGTGGGCGGGGCTAGAAGGGAAGGTGGGCGGGGCTAGAAGGGAAGGTGGGCGGGGCTACAAGGGAAGGTGGGTGGGGCTAGAAGGGAAGGTGGGAGGGGCTAGAAGGGGAAGGTGGGCGGGGCTACAAGGGAAGGGGTGGGGCTAGAAGGGAAGGTGGGCGGGGCTAGAAGGAGAAGGTGGGCGGGGCTAGAAGGGGAGGTGGGCGGGGCTAGAAGGGAAGGTGGGCGGGGCTAGAAGGGGAAGGTTCAGGTGAAGAACCTCCACAGGGGTTACGGCCGATGTTGGCTTCCAAAACCAAGCAATAGCAGCACTGTTAAACGCTGGGGATGTCAACAACTCGGTAAAATAGACTAGTACCTGTCAAATAAGATGGTACAAATATGCGTCGTTAAATCTTTTTTACATGGTTAATAACATCTTTCCAATGATTGCTCAATTTGTACCCATGATCACGGTTGAAGTTATGTCTATGTTTGTATATCTGGATGGCTTCATGCACAAACCTTTGATGGTAGCCAGAAGGTTTGCATAGCACCTTGGTCTGGGAAGAGACAATATCATGAGAGCCCACAGCGTTGTGGCCGTCCACTCCGGGGAGGCTTCGAAGCGGGCTCAGCGCGCAGATCTGCGCTGTTGGCGCCTGGGATGAAGCCGTCGTATGAAGAATCTGAAGAGAGAAGCCTTCAGTCATCGTGGCCAAGCAGAAGCCCTCCTGGCTTGGCCGCGCCAAGAAGTACCCGAGTGATAATTGGTTTTTTACCCTTTTATCTGGAAACAAAACTGACACCTTTTTTTTACGAGGAGTCATGTTTGCATTGACCACAATACCTGCAGTCATAATGCAAACAATAAACATAACTCTGATAATGTATGCACTGTCCTTGAAGTTGATTGGTCCACACCCGAGACAGCTTTCCGTAGAGCCTAGTCTCACATGGGTTGGACCAAATATTTTTGTTGCCAGATTAAAGGGTAAAAAACCAATTATATTTTTTACTGCCAAATGAGGTACCAATGGTAGTACCCGAGTGTTAGTGAAAGTCGGACGGTGGTCACCACCTCATGTGTAGGGTGTGTTGCAGTTGTGTTGAAGTTGTGTTAAGTAAATAGAGTTTCCTCCACACGAGTGTCGAACCATTACAAATCCATCGACTGCACAGCCGCTGGAGCTGTATGCACTTTTAAATCTAGATTAAAACTAATTTGGTAAAGTCACGTAGAAGGGAAATAATAAAATAATATTAATATAAAAAATAAACATTTTCACGACGTTTCGACTGCAACACAAGCAATCATCATCAGGTGTGAAATCCACAGAAAGAAAATTTGAAACTAATTTGTTTCTAACTGCTCTTTTTGTTCAGTGTTGTTGTCCTTCCCCACGCACCTCCGATTAGCACCGTTGGCTACGTACGGTACGAAAGAAGTTCAACATACATCATGATCATAAGCATTGGTGTAAAACAAGTCGACTGTGGGCCAGTTTCGCAATTCAGTGTCGACTTTCGCATTTCTGGGAAACGGTACCCCTGGGTGGCTTTATTCGCAGATAATAAGACGGATTTGCCGCCATTCCTCACCTACTGTTGTTATTTGTCAAAAAAGACAAGGGACAATAGGTTAAAATAAAAGGTCAAAAACGTGAGCAAATATCAGGAGACGAAGCAGTTTCATGTGGATTATTGGGAGTATTCTAGATTTTAAGTTTCCGTGACTGCAAGGATCCATACGCTTTGGTTCTTTCGGTTAAGTCACGTAGGTGAAAAATATAAATAAATAAAAGTTAATTATTGGGAGTAGCTTACAGCAGGGTCGCAGAGTTGCAGAGAGCGCTGTAGTCTGTTTCAGAATACAATTCTGAAACGTTTCCCTGAAGGTGCACTTTGGTGACCACATTGCCATGGTCACCCAGTGCACCTCCCCATTGTGGAAATTCCACATTCCCATAGCAGGGGCCAGTCGCTCCACAGGTTGACAGCTGTTCATTTGTTCGCGTTGGCGGTAAGAGAGACGATGAGCTGAGCCAACTCCTGAGCCTGGATTTGAACACGGAACTTTATGATTGTGAGCCAAGGACTCTCAGTTCAGCACCACCCAGGCATATTAACGCCCTTCATTTTACCCAGGAGAAGCCGGAATGAGTCTCAAGACTCGTTTTCAAGAGGGTCCTGCCGCATTGGAATGTTGGGCCAGTTCCGTGAACGAGGAGGGTTTGGCTCGTGGGAGGAAGCTAGGGAATCCAGATGAAATCCACAACGTCAGAGAAGATATCACTGAAAGCTCAACACAGATGGATTCAAGAATCCATTGCTCTACTGCCTTCTGCTGGCCATCTTGCAGCCCAAGCGTTTACAACAGCCAGGATTCCCAGGCAGTGTTCCATGCGAAGACTGTATCAACCAGGCTCAACTTTGCTTAGCTTCCGAGGTCACATTCAGATCGACTTCATCCAAAGTAATTGGAAGAGTCCGGAACGCTGTTCTGCATATTATTATTTTGGTTTCAAAGCTTGATAAGAGTATATGACACAAATTCTGTAGGATTATTAAGGATAGGTGGACCTTGTATTCTAGTGGTAGTGTCTTACGCCGATAGTCCGTATTCCAAGCTAGCCGAGCAGCGTTCCGGAAAATACCGAGTGAAACTTAAGCCCTTGTTGTACGTGATAAGAAGTTTTCATCACTGGTTCTATAATATAATTTATTAATAATGCACTTATTTATTCAGGACAGTCACACTGAGTCGTATCTCTCTCTTTCAGGTGGGTCCTCCCGTTGCATTGAGTTTTTTTTATTTTAAGATGTTTTCAGCCAATTATTGATGTATGTTTGTCGAATTTTTTTTGTACCGTACGTAGCCAACCGCGCGAATCGGAGGCGCAACGATATTGTCCACGTGAACGGAAACCAGAGCTCACGTAGAAAACCCCACGCCCAAGAGGGCGCAACACTCTATCCCCGTACAGATGGAAACGGATGGAGATTAGTCCGCCTACTGTTCCGTGAGCCAGGGAATGGACGCCCGCGGGAAGAAAGTTTCACAACATCCGTGTGTGATCCACGTGAGTATGAACTGGGAGACGCTGTTCGGGCTCGCGATGCAATGCGTACATAGTTAAACGAGTAACCTGCAGAGGGCGAATGCATATGGTAACACGGTTAGCCAGACACGCGCAAGCACCTGTGCGTTGGAATGCAGGGCAAGCGTTGAGAAATATGCCCTGTTGAATGCATCATTGACTTGTGTGTTTTCACTTACACGTATTATACTGGTAGGAACCCACTGGTTTTACCAGCCCACAGGGGATTATTGTGTCCGTCCGTCGTGCAGGGAGGGATTGGATGAGGAGGAGAGGGTGGGGAAAGGCTGGGTGGGGAAGGTGGAGCTGGGTGGGGAGGGGAGGGTGGGGAGGGGCTGGGTGGGGAGGGTGGGGAGGGGCTGGGTGGGGAGGGTGGGGAGGGGCCAGGTGGGGAGGGGAGGGCTGGGTGGGGAGGGTGGGGCTGGGTGGGGAGGGTGGGGCTGGGTGGGGGGTGGGAGGGGTGGGGCTGGGTGGGGAGGGGCTGGTCACACCGTGGTGCCCTTATAAAACTCAACGTTTAACCTACTCACGCCGGCTTGTGCCCGCCCTCACAGTCGGGCATATTGCGGAATACACCACGCCGCCGTTGACCCTGGCCATTGACCGAGCAACCCAACGTTCCTACCAGCTCCCTCCGCAGGAATGTGTTTCATACTGGAGGAGTCCGATGAGCTAGAAAGTTATTTTTCACAGATATCCAGTCAATCTTGATTTGAAGCTTTCGTGACTGCTGGAATCCATACTCTTTGGTCCTTTCGGTAAAGTCACGTAGGTATAAAATAAATCACGACGTTTCTGGCGCAACACAAGCGTCCGTCATCAGGTGGGACAGCATGGTTTGCTGCTGTTTCAAAATGTTTGAAATGGTCCAGTTTGAAATGTCCAGTCGTTTCACAGACGTCCAGTAATAATACTCATAACAATTCAAGGACCTCAACGCGCTGTACAGGACACCAACCACAGCAGCAGACACTCAGACGCTCACACCGCTTACGTGAACTCATTTGTAGCGCGGTTGAACCCAGGTGAGAGAGTCTTCGCAGCGAGTGTTTACGAGTTGCGTGAAGCGTTCGTGCGCGCGCGCGTGAGAGCCGGGAGCGCGCCTGCAGAGAGATACCGAAAGTATTTGCGCGTGCGTGGGGATATAAGTCGAAGAGAGACGCCACCGTGACGCGCGCAAGCGACTTACACTGCGGGAGGAATCCTATGAGCTGTAAAGCTCTTTTTAAATCCTTTATATTAAGTTCGCTTGCTTGCTTGCTTGCGTGCTTGCTTGCGTGCTTGCTTGCGTGCTTGCGTGCTTGCTTGCTTGCTTACGACCGTGCAAATATTTCGCTCGTTTTTTAACCCACTTCCCGTGATCCAATCGAGCTGACATTTTCCACACAGACTCGTTGTGTGTGACAATTAATTTTCGTGAAATTTTTTTTCCAAAATTTTACACTGTTTATGGAAAACAAATTAAATATTTAATTACCAATTGCTTAATACTGGCAGGCATTCATCTGAACCATAGATTGCAGCCATCTCAAGCCAGAGGACGAGAGGACTCTAGCCGCCACGCATATAAAAGATTTAGAGTGAAAAACTTTGTTTTTACGGATTTACTTGTTCACGTACGTCCAATAGGTGGGACGGGATCAGAACGTTGCCACAACCAACGATGCAATCAGCACGATAGGAGCGCAACGTTCAGGAAAGGTCAACAAATCACCTCAGGTTAAGAATAGGGCTGTCGGAAAGACAGCGCTCCAAAGTATGTTATTAGCTAAAGCCCACTGAGCTATTAACTTATTTTTCAGAATCGACCTGTCCACAAGTGGTAGCTCAACAAAGTGGCTTATCAGGTGAAAATTTAGAACAGCAAAATAATCTAAAAAAAATCTAAACGCACGGACGGCCCTTGGCTGACATCTCGCCGAACGAGGGTACAGATTGCCACGCGGCCTGCTGGAGCGACTGGGCTCGTGGAACATCTCGCTGTTGTTGAAAACCCCTAAACGCTCCCCCCCCCCTCTTCAAAGGAATGCACTCTGCGCATCGCCACGCTCCGTCGCGCGGACAGACGTTTTGCTCAATGGAGCAGAACAAGTTGGTCCTCTAAAGCTGTTCTGGCGGTTGACATGATCTTGCTTCAGTGTGCCCCCCCTCCCACCTAAGGCTGTATCTTCAATCTCGCACCACCACCAGCATCACCAGCACCACCACCCCCCATCAAAGGGGATCATGTCTGTGTACCTACCGACGTGTGCGTTGTCATCTCCACTTGCGCTCGCGTCCGTGAGTGTTGTGTGGTTACTGTGACTACACTTCACGTGTGTATGTGTGTGTACATGTGTACACGTGTGTGTCTGTTAAGGCTATGCGGGTTATCTTGTCTGTGTGGGGGGGAGGAGGAGGGGAGTGGTGGCGTAGTGGATTAGCACACTGTGCTACGAACCCGACGACCCGAGTTTGTTCCCACTCACGGCCGTCAACATCAGCGGTGACGAGATGTCAACTACCTCGCCTGGTATACAGGAGGTCGTGGGTTCGGTCCCGACCCTGACGCCTGCTGTATATTTGGAGTTTGCATGGTGACGAGATGTTAACTCCCACGTTTGATGTGGAGGAGGACGTCTGTTCGATCCCGACCCTGGCGCCAGCTGTATATTTGGAGTTTGCGTGTCTCTCTCCCCGTGGTCGCGTGGATCTTTCTCCGGGCCCTCTGGTGTATCGCTCCGCATTTAGAAACATTCGCTCGGAATATTTGGCTGCTATACATGTCCACGCGATAAGCCACTACGGCGAGCTATGGTGTGTGGCCAGGTCGCTTATGAGAAAGATCTACATAGCTGAGCGGGCCTTACAAATATTCAGCAGGTGCCTGGGTTGGGATCGAACCCACGACCTCCTGTATACCAGGCGAGGTAGTTAACATCTCCTTCTAGATTTGAAGCTTTCGTGACTGCAAGGAATCATACTCTTAGGTTTTTATCGGTAAAGTCACGTAGGTAAAAATAAATAATAAATAATAAAATAAAAATAATAGAAATAATAATAGAAATAAAATTATAAATCACGACGTTTCGGAGGCAACACAAATCTCCGTCATCAGGTGGGACCGTCACAGCTATATTTACTCACTTGATACAGTAAATCTGGCTGTGACGGCCCCACCTGATGACGGAGACTTGTGTTGCCTCCGAAACGTCGTGATTGATAATTGTATTTCTATTATTTTTATTTTATTTTTTATTTTTACCTACGTGGCTTTACCGAAAAAACCTAAGAGTATTAACATCTCCTAGCCACCGTGCTCTCGGCGGCTGGATTCATCGACCGAAACTCGCTCACTTGCCCAAGAAATCGTAGGACAAATGCGTCTTAGAGGTCTCAACATACAAACACGACCCGCAAACTTGCCTGTTACCCCGGCAGCTACACGGCGCGCGAGAGATGTGTCTCAAGTGAAAGCGCGTTCTCTCATCCTTGCTGATGCTGATGTTGTTGTTGTTATTCTGCCGATTGTCCTTTCCGGCGTCGCGTCGTCACAGGCCACGAAGAATCGTGACGGATCTCTCACCCTTAATGTTGGGAGAACGGCCCCTCGGAAGTTGATACCACAGAGCTAACTCCGAGTGACACCCCTTCCACGCAGCTGGATTTTATCAAAATGAAGTGCAAAAGCGAACCGAATGCGATGGTTGTTATCGTTCGTTCATTCATCGGTGACGGGGCTGAGACCACAATTTCAGCATCCGATTTAATGATGAGTTGTAAGAACAGCCAGATGTTAACCCCAGCAGGGCACTCTGACCTCCGAGTCACCCAAACACCTAACACCACTCAACTTTAAATAAATATAGACAACACGTTCTACTTAATTAAATAGACTTTTTAATAAATGTTTTCTTCTACAACATCAGAGCGCAGCGCCACATTAAATACGCACTACAATGACAATAGTTTAAAGCGATTTGAAGCATGTTTTATTTGGGGAGGGGGCAGAGCTTTGTGACGTCATATTTGAGGGGGGTCTGACTTTTTGTGACGCCGTGTGACGAGGGGGGGGGGGATCAAAAATCGTCCAAAATCGCGTGACGTCATTTACGGACGGCCCCTAAAACCTTAATCCGGCCCTGCTGGGTCTACCCTAGATCGACTCGGTGTTAAATGAGCACTTGGTTAGGTATGTAAGCGTCAGCACTGCGGGGAGACAAAGGTGGCTGTGCTTCGGTGCTGGTCATAACTCCAACTTGAGAATTGGGCAGGCTTTAATAGGCGCTCGCGGACAGCACTTTCCAAACCAGCCTGTAGGGCTTTGCAGGAGGAGCTCCTTGTGTTTATATATGGGCGGTTTACACAGTAGCTGTCTCACGGAGACACTGGTGACTGTTATGAATTTATTTTCCGCCACTGGAATCAGGACTGCCTGTGCAAGCAATTGCCCCGCATTAAAAAAAAAGACGCATTAAAAAAAAAGACGCATTAAAAAAAAAGACGCATTAAAAAAAAAGACGCATTTAAAAAAAAAGACGCATTAAAAAAAAAGACGCATTAAAAAAAAAGACGCATTTAAAAAAAAAGACGCATTTAAAAAAAAAGACGCATTAAAAAAAAGACGCATTAAAAAAAAGACGCATTTAAAAAAAAAGACGCATTAAAAAAAAAGACGCATTAAAAAAAAGACGCATTTAAAAAAAAGACGCATTTAAAAAAAAAGACGCATTAAAAAAAAAGACGCATTAAAAAAAAAGACGCATTTAAAAAAAAAGACGCATTTAAAAAAAAAGACGCATTAAAAAAAAGACGCATTAAAAAAAAGACGCATTTTAAAAAAAAGACGCATTAAAAAAAAAGACGCATTAAAAAAAAAGACGCATTAAAAAAAAGACGCATTTAAAAAAAACTGTACACAAGGCCTTTATTAAATCCAGTAAAGCCATGCTGAGTCTCAAGACGATCGTAAATCGGATTGACTCAACGTCTAAAATGCTGGACTCTCCTGCAAAATAGTACTGTGACTCACTGAGGCTTTCCTGAATTAACAAAGGGCATTGATATTGTTCCTTTAGTATCTTGCCTATGACCAAACCTCATTGAAATGTCTTTTAGCTTGGTCAGTTCTCGGAAGCTTAGCAGGGGTGAGCTTGGATAATACTTGGATGGGCAATCGCCATGCACAAACAGGTGCGTATAGGCTGCATTACTTAGTGGTAGGGGCAGAGTGCGCTACCATACAGCAAAATCAATTGTTTTACTGTACTTCTATGCTCCCATGTTTATGCTCCCCTCCTTCACCGACCCACAGTAAATCGGGAGGCCCTCATCCAGCAGTGGATTTATAAAAGGGCTGTACCATGAATAGTATCTAAAAATGATATCAGGAGGGCCCTCATCAGCACTGGCGGTCTTGGTCAATCCACTGCTGGATGAAGGCCCTCCCCCAAGTCCTCACAATCCAGCTGGGCCCTGTTGGGAACATTTCGTAAATTCCTATTTATAATTTTTTTGACATTTCCTTAAAATATTAAATCAGACTATCCTTTTTCTCACAAATGTCACGATGTGTTATGTTATTGCGTTTAAAAAAAATGGAAAATGTGTTTCTGCTAAATTGAGCATCACGGCGCCAGGCGTCTGCATTGGAGGCCTCATAAACGAGTGGTGGAAATTCCACATTTCCATGGGGAGGGCCCCGCGTCTCTACAAAATGGTATTCGTTTTATTTGCCCCAGAAGGATGCTGATAATGGGCTGTTGACGCCCGACTTCGAATTCAAACTTTTCACCTTCCCGCGGCGATGCGAGCGCTGTTCCCATAGTGCCGTCTGACCAGCCAAGGATTCGGGTAAATGGCAAAGACGCAGCCCTGCAATTGCTTCGCTCACGCCACTGCTGGCAGAAGGGCCTCGGGCAGTGGGGTGCACCCTCCAGAGGGCATTTTAGCCCACCCTTCCACGCTCTTTGTTTAGCCTGCGTGCGCATCTCACGTGTTATCGCGGACTGTGCTTTATACCACATTATAAAGCATTTATTGTATTATTTGTTCTTCGTCAACGCAACTACCACCGCGTTATAGGAGTACAGAGACCCCGTATTTATTTTTTGTATTTACTTTGCAGCCCTCTGTCAGTCGACCGCTAGGTGAAGGCAGTGCCGGATTAAGCTAATGCGAGGTCTGTAGCATATGTTATAAAGGGGGCCTAAATAAAAAAAAACACGGAAATATTAAACACATACATTTTTAACTTGCATAGTAAAGTAATTGTATTTTTTCATTTGCTATACAGCCA